TCGTAAAACATGGGTCGTCGTCCGGGTCCATTTTACAGCATGGTGGTCTTTTCAGCTGAACAGCAAAGATAAAACAGACGGAGCAAGGACCCTGATAATCTATCTGGCCAGTCGCCACTCTTTATCTCATAGTCTAGATCGATTACACTAAGACACATGCACATGGAAGCCGCCTACATATTTCCCTCTCACATGCAATAAATCGGCACCGAGCCATGATGCATGCATTCGTCCTCCGGAGAGGCCTGCAGAATGCATGTTTCAAGTCCACGCCACGAGCAAATCAGCTCTTCCGACGAGCAAGCAGAAGTCCTCCTGCGCCGTGACCACCACCGTGCTTTTGACATGCCAGGTCTCCGCATGACTCAAACTTTGATTTTTAACGGCTTACCCAACAACCATGTGTCTATTCTGCCGATAATGTGGTCTCCTTGGTCTTTTTCTTGCTTGTCCAACTCGAACAGATGGCCTCCTCACATTTGAGCATTTACTCGATGTGTCTCACGTGAGAACCATGCAAAAGGAGAGCCTGGTATGATGCCCTTGAGCCGGAGCAATTATTATGTTGTTCAGGACCCTTGTGTCTTCTTTCATGCAACAATCAGGCACAAATGGCTCCTGGCCAACCGATTTGTCCGCACGAATCTTTTCTAACGATTCTCTCCTCCGCGGGCGGAAATTTTTTCGAGGGCGAAGCCGGTGCTTGTCTTGATCCAGCAACTCAACAAATTATTTGAGTTCTGCCACTGGCTCCAGATCTTTCCGCAGTCCGTGAACTTGCGGGGAACCGCTGTCAACATTGCAGCTGCAGCGGCACAAAGACACCACTCTCGCTCCAGAAGATTTAACTATCCAGAGCAATGAATTGTGGAACAATGAAATCGCCGTTATCGTCCCTTTTCTACTGACAACCTTTCTCATCCTCGTCTGTTTTGCCTCAATGTGCTCAGAGTTCTTGGGAGATGCCCCGTACTGTACAAAGAACCCCTGCGAACCACTGCGGGGCACTGCCTGGGGTTCCCTGAAAGCTCTGTGGCTCCATGGAGTTGTGTATGCCGGATCACATGCATTTCCGATGTTGATTGCCACCGAGAAGACGTGATCGGCCGACTTTACACCAAGGTGACAGGACAGGCACAGGCACCATTTTGTATGGGCAATCCCGACAACCGATTGTGTGAGATAACAGACGTGAGAAATCAGTTCTTCTGCTTGTTGCTGCTGCTGATGGGGGCGGCATCATGCACGATACCACTTTGCGGTCTTTTCGATTAATTGCATTAAATTAATCTCGAAGATTCCGACCCAGCTCTGGCAAAGAGTGCGTCTGTTCAAGCCCTTCGAATTATGACAACAAGAATAAGGTTCCAATTTAGGTACGGAGTAGACGATCTGCTTCCACGCGAACACGTTACCTAGCCAGTGGTGTCATCTGACCCAATATTGAGCTGCCGCTTTCAGCTCAGCCAGAGATCAAGTTTTTCTTGGGTGAAACAACGTGGAAGATCTCTCGCCTAAGCGTCAATGATTGAAGCTGGCAATTACACACGAAAGGTTTGCAACAAGCGATATTCAGGGCAAGGAAGGTAAGATCTGACTCACAAGGATCTGCTGGTAGGATTATCCCAGGACTACGAGCCTGACAAGGACAAGGATCATGCAATTTGACTTGAGTCCGCCCCTCTACTCCATGGTTTATAGAGCATTATCGATCAGAGATCAACGGTTTCAGATCAAGTCAGCTTGCGACCTGACCACGTTTCGATATGTTATTATCAAGTTTTTCCTCCCAAACCTACCAGTTCCCCAGGTAACCCAAGCTACATCATTGTGATTTGCACCAAGAGTCATATGAACATCCAGATTGCTAGGCTTGTTCTGCTGTGCGATAGGATGGAAGTTGATCTTCTTTTGTAACGTGTTCACCTCTGAGCGAATACCTACCTGCAAGTCCACCCACGACCTTTGCAATATCCCATGCCAAACACATACGTCTCTTGCGTATCAGAATTGACTAAGCGGGTGTCAGAGTCGTCCCCTCGAGCAGAAGTTTCTGAGATTGACAGACCGCCTGTTGGGAGATTCGGACTCATCGAATGTGTTGTACAGACCTGGTTCTGAACCCGACTGAGCCGCATATCCTACTGCGGTGCTGCGCTCACGGCGTTACGGCAGGCTCGCTATGAGATGGTCACACTGCGCAGCCGTTTCCGAGAGCAAGGCCCCAAGCCGATGGTTTGTGTAGCTTTCCTTGCTGGAAGCAAACAACAAGCAAAGGAAGGCGTTGGCAGACAAGTGGTACCTCTGTGGCTTACTCTCAAGAACCAGGCGACTTCGTATTGATGGTTTCCGATCTAGGGTGACACGGCGGTGGTCATGCTCCCTCACTCTCGGCTCGGACGCCCGTTATGCTGCAGAACACTCTCACCAATCCAAACAATGTTGCATCCTAGGGACACCCCTATCGCCGTCTCGTCCGTCCATTTCTAAGGCCCCCAGGAACCCCAGGGCCCCCGAGGCTTATTCCGCAATTACTAATTAGCCTCAAAGCTAAGCTTTTACTGTCCCACTTTGCCAATTCCTCCTTCGATTGGAATTTCCTTTTCTGGACCATGTCGCGATGTGTGATTTTGGATTCTGGCGCGGGGCAGTGTTGAATACTACCAGCTTTATCTTCGCGCTCCTAGCCTCAAATGGCACAAAATTGGTGGTTGCCTACGCTTTTCTTTTCAGCTGCATACCCTATCTCTGAGTAGATATATACCTGTCAAAGTTCAGCAAAATCGAATTCAGAAAGACAGAAGATACAACAAACAGGAAGGACAAAATTCCAACGTCTTCTTCACATTTTCGTGGTGCATATCGCAATTCTTATGTTCTGCCTTGCAGAGTGAGCCCCGCTCTCGCCACAGAATCTCTCAATCATGCCTATCATTAGCAGACTCGTCAAAGGAATCGGCGCAGGCATTGGAGCAGCCTCAGAGGCTATCGCCGACCACAAGGAGAAGAAGGCCGCCAGGGAGCGCGGGGTTTCTCCCAACCCTCTAGGCGAAAACGAGGTGGGGGAAAGCTCTCAGTCTGGATTCGAGTCTGGCGCCCAGTCTGGCCAGTCTGAAGACAAGAAATCTCACGCTCCCGCCCATAACGATAAGGACGACGATTCCTCGAGCATCAGCAGTTCAGACTTGGACAATGATACAGCAGAATGGGCCCTCGATGAAGTAGCCGAGGAGCTTAACCAACCGCCTCCTACATACGATGAAGCAGCAGCTACGAGCCCTCTATCAGAAGAAGAGGTTGCCAGAGCCTTTTTGCACCAACACAAGATCGTTCCGGCCCCCGCCCGACAATTCACCAAGCTTCCGTGTCCAGTCATCCTCCCGCAACGTCGACCCAAGGACAAATCCCGAGGGTTCGTTCGGGCGTATGCACCGCTCCTGGGCGAATGCGCGGGTATAGACCAAAAGACGTTTATCGATTTCATCAACGACCTGGACGTAGCCTCCAAGGCCAGTCCAGTCTTCGACGTGATCAACCTGGCATGCTTCGCCGTCGGGCTAGTGCCGAATCCAATCACGATGGCCGTTTCCATTGCGATCCAGGTCGCCAGCGGCACCGGCAAAGAGCTCCAGTCGCGCTACCGGCGCAACACGTACCTCGACCAGATCAACGAATCGCTCTTCAAACCGCGCGGCCTATACTGCATGATCATGACCTTCAAGCCCGACAACCCGCACGATCCTGTGATTGGCATGGACTTGACGAACCTGGGCCTCAAGTCCAGCACCGACCAGGCTCTCGTCAAGGCGACCTCGATCCCCGACTCGGACCTCAAGCAAGCGCTCGCCAAGATCCGCCTGACTTCGGGCGTCAGTCGGGGTGAGCTTTCCCTCCCGGAATCTGCACCCCTCGTCTACCCTGCCCTCGACGCCGCCGCTCAAGCCGCGCTCGACAGTGCGGGGGGTACTTCGGGCACCACCGAAAGCCTCCTCCCCGAGAGCACAAAGGACAAGATGCACTCCTCCTCGGGCTTTCTCGCCAGCTACCTCGACCGGCGCGCCCAGGCCTCGTACGCGGGCATGCACCCTGACAGCCGACTCGTCATGCCCCCTCCGGAGAAGAAATTCGCCTCGCGGTTCTCCGACCCCAACCACCCAGCCAACTCGGGCACCATCCTCGGCCTCCTCACCGGCGGCCACTTTGACCCGAAAGCCAAGCGCCGCGGTCGTCGGGCCCAGCGCCAGACGCGCCGCCGCGGCTACGAGCTCAGCGAGACGGACGTGCGCAACGCCGAAATGGGCAGGTTGCCCCGGCGCAGGAAAGGGGTGATTCGGCGCGTGCTGCACAAGAATATTCTCTACCTCACCGTCGTCAATCTACCCACCGAAAGTGAGATGAGGGAGAATATACAGGAGCTAGAGCGAGAGAGTAGGTAGGTGGGTTGGGGTGAGTTGGCACAGCACAGCAGAGCAGAGAAGAGCAGAACAAAGTAGGAGTCGTGATATACTGCTACATACTGCTCGGAATGTATGTTTGCATGGGAAGGACTCAGGTTTGGGGTTGGTTTGACCTGGTCTGAGTGGTCCGGTTGAGCCTCGATCGATATACTTGGTCACTATATACATAGCAAGAGAAGGGGGAGACGGTGCAACGCGCATACCTCACATACCTGTGTACATCCAGGCTGATGCTGACCTGAGAATCCCATGGCTTTTTTTTGGCCACAAGACATGTCCGTCTATCAAGTGAACAGGGCTACCAAGTTTTGGAACGCGTGGATTCATTAATCTGCCGGCATTGCCTTGCCCTGTGTCACGAGATTCGTATTACTCGTTTGGTCGTCCTGAGCCGATATCCTGGTTTCTCCACCCACAATCTGTGGTTGATCTTGATAACAAAAAATCATCATTCTTTTTTTGGGACGTGCTATCTCCCACTTTTCAGTTCTGCCGGGTCCTGTACCTTTAGTACCTACAGGACATAACGCAAGTACGTTTCATTCACCTGCCGCCCGAAAACTCGGCCTTGTAAGCTTGAATTCCACCCTTGGACAGCTCTCTCAGCGCCATGGTCGCGTACTGGCTCGAGCCAAGCTGGAATTTGAGCACTGCTGCCAATTTCACGCGCTGTGGGTGGCTGGGAGCAGTGATTTCGGCACCGTTCGTACTATTCGCGTCGACGTTTGCAGCCGCCGTGCTCGCTCCGTGCAGTAGTGGTTGAGGTGCCTCCTCCAACGCGACGCCGTCAGCGGCCTTTGAGGATGAACCGTTCTCTCCAACAGTGTCGATTGCGTTCGCTTTTTCCCGTCTAAGCCGCTCCATGTCCGTCTCCACAAACTGCTTGTCTCCGTCGCCGTCGCCGTACTCGTGGACGCCGACTTCGAACGTCTCCCCGATCCGCGCCACCATCTTGCGGTACCCGCCGCTCAGACTAAAGTCCTTTTGCTTTCTCCGCATACCGTACGGGTCAAGCCCGCCACCGGCTTCACTGGCCATGAAGGTCTTGTACCATTCGCCGCTCGCGTTGGCCGGGTAGACGACATCGAAGCCGGGCAGGGGGAGGACAATGTCAAAAATGGAGTACTGGCCACTCTCGGCTTCGGCAGCGGTGAGTGCGCGGGCTCGTTCGAACCTGTCGTCCACGTCGTAGGCGCGGTCATCGCCTGACGGCTCAACGACAATTTCCCCATCAGCATCCACCGTTTCTTTTGATGGTGCCTCGTCGGCTTGCCTCTCCTTGTGCTCGGACACCAGCACGAGATCGCCTTCCACGACCTTGCCGCCAAACAACCGCCATCGTTCCCCTACTGCGAGATTCCACACAAAAGACTGATATGCATGGACATACATGAGTCTGAGGTTGCGCTGGATTGCAAGGAGAGCACCCAAATAGTCCTGCGGCCGCTTGCCCAGGTGTCGGATTAATGCTGTCTCGGCGGAGAATTTGCGCGGGATCTTGTCAAGCGCATCATTGATCCTGCCGGTTGTTCGCCAGATATTGATCCCCTCAGCGCGAGAACGGTCATCCTGGCTCACAAGGACACCCGAGTCTTGGGTTTGTGAGGCTTTCAGTGCCACGGCCGAAAATTCCAGAATAGCATCGCACGCACCCTTGAAGTCTTCCTTTAGAATCTTCAGTCCGACAACATCAGTGCGTGTGGCAAAAGTCCCGAACCGCTGCAGCCCATAGTAATTCAGGAAGCCATATTCGTGAAGATGTTGAAGCGCCTGTGACAGATAGGTTTCGGCGGCGGCTTTCTCTTCAGCGGTGCTCGTTCCGGAGGCTAACTCAACAAGTTGGCAGTCTCTCAAGGTGACCACAAATTCGTTCCCAGTTAAATCGCCAAGTTCGAGCCCGTGTTTTTGGTACTCAAAATCTCCAACGGCCGCATATCGTAGGGAACGGTTCAACGCAGCCAACCGCTCTGCCTCGATACGGTACGCACTGACTCTCTGTACGGTCACAGCACGCCGATCTTTCGTGCCCGCGAATTGAAACGTCTTGTTGTTTGTCTTGAGTTGCTTGGTCAGGTAAGATATGACTTCAAGCGTATCCTTGTTTTCTTTGTAAAGAGTGAAATAGACGTATTCCCCCCCACGATCTATCCAACTTAACTTTCCCGGGCGTGAGGACTTTTCGTTAGATTTTGACCAGTCGCGATTACGATTCTTGTTGGCTGATGACGATGCCGCAGTGAGAACCAATATGCCCTCGTTATCTGTGCTAGAGTCGATCTTGCTCTGAAAGATGCGGCGGATGTCCTGATGAATTTTCCACCGCACGCTGCGGTCTGAGGTGAATGGTGTCCGAACTGTGGAATAGTCCCGAGATTTCTTCCCCGGATTCCGCAGGATGGACTCATAGAGGGTGATGATCTGTGCCACAGTCTCCTCGCTGAAATACTCGACTAATTTGGCGCGATCGTCGTCGGAAATCTGTATCGTGTCAGTCTGGACAATCTCTACCCAGGGAACCATGAAAGAGTATTACTTCGGAATTTTGGACGCCAGAGCCCTCCTCTCTAGCAGGATCTGAAGTGCTCGTATTTGTTGTCTTTTCCACCTCTCTCAACGTCTCATCTTTCGGCGCAGATGGCTCCGACGCATTTGCCTCGTGCTCCACATGCCTTGAATCTTTTGGCGCCGGGACTTCTGAGCTGTTATTATGCAAACCATGTGGCTGTAGGCCTTTCGCACTCATTGATCGAAGATGCAACACCGTTCCGCCAGGTAGGATCTCGTTGACCAAGAAATCTGTATATCTCTTCTTGAGAATCCCTTGGAAAAGGCTTTTGGATCCGTCGACGAAGGCCGTGATACCTACTTCACGTTCCTTTACGCTGTCGTCCAAAACTAGATTCCCGGGCACAATGGCCGGAGCACCAGCGGGTTGAGCGGACGGAGCCATTGAGGCGGTGTCACAACTGCCATCTGTTTGGGCTATGTCGAGTTTGGCTCGTTTTGCCGGACGCGAGTCAGATGCGCTGCCTTCCATCTTTTCCTTGGGGACCACAGAAAGCTGTCTCGTACTGTTTGAGAGTATTAATACTGTGAGCTGTTCGACCAACAGGAAACATGACCAACATCTGAAATTTCAGTGATGCCAAGAGACAAATACGGCTAAGCCAATTGTGGGATAGCTCCCCCCTTTCTTTAACGCCTTACATTTGGTGTGGTGAGTTACCTCGTACTCGGTACCGAGTACATGTTCGTGCCTTGGCAAAGCAAGTGAGGATCATATCCTCGCGGACACTTTGAGATTCTGCAAGATGCTTTGATAGCGCCCCGGCTTTCGAATTGCCCTCGTACTGACAGATTCATTGACAGAGATGTGGCTACGCTCTGAATCCCAGTATGTAAGTTTGACCTAGCTATATCTGCTTATTTCCAACACTGGAGCTGTTGCTAAGAGGTTCTACCAATACTTTCACAGCATTGCTTTTGTCGTTGAGTAAAAGCTCAAACCCTCTTGACACTACATGCTCCACCGGTATCTTTGCCGAGATGAGTCTCTCAGGCCGATGGATTTCGCCTGCGGCAATCGCGTTGATGACTTCCTGGAAGTCACCCGGAACGTAAGGGAGGATACCCACGTATTTGATCTGCCCCAAGACTATTTCATTAGGATCGACCGTGGCTTTGCTTTCCCATAGCGCAAGACCTAAGACCGTTCCTCGTTTTCGGACTGCTGCAAAAGCGGTGTTCAATGAGCTTTGGACGCCAGCGCATTCAAACACAACGTGCGGTCCTCTGCCATCGCAAATGCCTTTACTGATCAGTCCCACGTCGTCCCTGGTCGGATCCAAAACATGTTCAGCCCCAAGACTCTGTGCAAGTTCTAAGCGTCCCTTGGCCGGATCAGACACGAGAATCTTGCCTGCACCAAACGCCTGGAGGCAGAGGATAGTCATCAAGCCGATAGGACCTGGGCACAAGGTCAGAAGATCCAATACTAACATTTTGCAAGGAATGAACAAACCTGCTCCAAGCACCAGCGCACTTTGGCCAGCCTTGAAACCTGAGGCTTTGATGGCTCGCCATGGCACAGTAAGCGGTTCGACGAGAGCTGCCACTTCAAGCGACATACTATCTGGAACTATGTGAATATTCTTGGGTGGTAGACAGACGTACTCGGCCATTCCGCCTCCGCCGTCCCAGCCACTGAAGCCAACCACAGCAAGATTACCGCACATGACGGGGAAGCCCTCTTTGCATTCTTCACACGTGCCATCTGATATACACGGCTCAACGGCAACCTTTTGCCCGACTTTGAAATTCGAAGGTCCCTCCCCAACTTCTACGATGGTACCAGAGAACTCGTGGCCTATGGTGCAAGGCATGGTGGCACCCGTCAAGTTGTGTGGCGTTGTAGGGACCCAAGACGGCCCGGTGGTGTACTCATGGAGATCTAATCAATCGCCAATTATCAGCAGCTTGCCTAGGGACTCGTGGCATACAAAGCGAATGACCAAGTATCAACGAACCAGTTCCGCAGATACCAGTGAACCCGTTCTTCAGCTTAATCCAACCGGGTTTGCACTCGGGTTCTGGAACATCTTCAAGCCTGATATCCCTGTTTCCGTGATATCGGAGAGCCCGCATATTTCTGCTTGTCACCAGAAATGCTTAGGTTGGAGATTGACCACAAAAGGAGCACCTAACATCAAAACTTTGAACCTGCGAAGTCACTAAATGGCCAGCACAAACTTCGGGACGCGGGACGGGAGACCGGCGCTCGTTTGCCGGACTAAAACTCTGGGTCTAACTCAGACAAAAGGATGTTCATGATATTATCACGGCTTGCGATTCCCGTGTTAGAGTTGCCTATGGAATGGTCAATCTCTGCTATTTGTCGGGAGCATTATACTGAGGTCGACTTCCTTGATGCTTTCATTATGCCCGCAACCATGTCCAATGCCTTGTGCGCGGCAGATCAAAGCATTTTGTCGCCAAGTGACGCAGTTCATATCCATCACACGCAGGAGATCGCAGTATCATTGATGAATCAGTATACATGCCTTTGACTGCGGCAGATGTCGTCTTGTGGTGAACGACGAACCCAATTGAATCATCCATGCCTTACAGAGCTTATGGACTCTCTAGTCAGGGCAGCACACTACTAATGGTGGATCCGGATTCCAATTCTCCCATATGTGTTGCAATCCAGAAAATTACAATGTGACAGTGTGGAGGCACGACGGTGTCTTGGTGCTGGCATTTCCAAGTGACGTTAGAGACGACTTTGTACTAGACAGAGAAGGACATCGAAAGCTTTACTCCACCAGAGGAAGTACTCTTAGGCAGCTTACGCAACTCCTCACGTCATGGCTTCCTTCTGCTACCATGGCCAGTGCAAGGCGACTGCTAAAGTCCTCAACACGCGTGAGGCTCGGTACCCCTCAGCTGAACAGAGGGTGATTTCCCTACCACCTCGTAGTTGGCAAGACAATGTGTTGGAGCATATGGATACAAATCTGCGCCTGACCTGCTGTTGTTCACTCGGTTTCACCTAATTGACAGGGTCCAAGCATTGGTCAGAGCTTCAAAAATGTCCATCGTTTCCCCCAGATGAAGATAGCAGAACAATCCTGCGTGGTGGCATGATTTGGCGATTGTCCTTCATTTGCACCAGAAGATTCTTCCTGGCGGGATTCAGTACCTGTGACTGCAAGTCTGTTTTGAAGAATGACCATGTCGGTCCTCACGTATAGGTCATACCGGGGGCGAGTCGTTCGGCCATCGATGACCGAGAAGAGGAGGTCCCACTGCCTCTAAGGCGGAGAAGAGCATGTACCGACTGGACGACCAAGACGATCATCTCAGAAATAGACACAGAAAGCATGCAGTCCGAGAAGGTCTCGGCGCCAGGTGGTTTGTTTCACGTCCTTTCGGCCAGTGGCAAGGAAATGTCAATGCAGCATGAAAGTATAAAAACTGTCGTCTGCACTCGCTGAGAGTAGGGAACACCACCGCCACTTTTCACAAACAGCGGACATACTTGTGCTTTAGAATCAGTTCATAGCTTTTGGCTTCAAGGTCTAATACCACTTCGTCGGCATGGCTACCGAAACCCTTACCCTCCCAAAGGAGCCGACGACACTCAACTACTACCTGGAGCTGAAAGATGGAGGCATAGTTCAAACTTACCCAGGAACGGCGTTTGAGAAACGCAGGAAACATGTCCCACACGAAATGTACATTCACGACATGCGTCCAGCACGCTCCGAATTCACCTTTGACACGGCTGGATTCGAGCTGGTCGACCATGTGTCCAAGGAGAAAGAATTCGCCGACGAAGAACATATCAAACAGATCTACTATCCGGAAATTGTCGAACTTGTCAAGAAAGTGTAAGTCACCCATCAGCAACGCTATGTTCCCGACTGATTTCGGGCCTCCCTCCCACTACAGGACTGGAGGAGATCGTGTCCATGTCATCTCACATCTGTCTCGGCGTGATACGACTCAAGCGTCACTGAAGGCCTCGGAGGGCAAAGCTGATACCGATTTCGTCACGGCCACGAATCCGGCTGTAAGTCACCATCCTTCCCCAAGGTTTGACAAACGGACAATGTGTTTTGACAAAGTTCTCTTGACAGAGGTTCGCCCACGTCGATCAATCTTACCGCGGTGCCGAACAACTTCTGTACCTCAACCTTCCAGAGGAAGAAGCAGACAAAGTGGTCAAGAAACGATGGGCCATCGTCAATGTCTGGGCCCCCATTATCAAGAAGGTCACGCGCGATCCTCTGGCCTTTTGCGACTTTCGTACCGTGGATGAGAGGGACTTCCGCACCGTTGTCGCCAACCTGCCCCCCAAGGGCGCAGGAGAGTACGCCAACGTGTCTCAGAACATGAGTCACAAGCAGCGGTACGAGTACAATCTCAACGGGGAAAAGGCGGCGAGATACGAGGTTACAAATATGGCGCACAATCCCAACCAGAAATGGTACTTTGCCAGCGAGATGACTCCCGAGGAGGCGTGGGTGTTTAAGATCTTTGACTCCAAGAAGGATGGCCGCGCGCGATGCGCCGTACACTCGTCTTTCCCGCTTGCGAATCAGGACGAAGAGGGAGAACCAAGGACTAGCGTTGAGGTTCGTACCTTTGTGTTCTGGGATAACGAGGAGGCTGAGTAGTTGGGAGGAGGGGGTTTTCCAACCTAGCGCTATATATATCCATAACATCGATCTGTCAATAGTTTCAACATGATGGCATTTGGTGTGTCAAGCCTAGGTTCCTCGATCTAGCCAAGTTCTGCAGTTCAGCACAAGCCATTGAGGATATACCGCCTCAGAAGATGATTAACGGAGAGTATCCTATCCAAAAATCGTCATTATTTGCGAAATTCCAGTGAACCGCCTCATAGGGGCCTATAACTTGCGAATTCTATTCCTCCGAACGTCGCCACTAGTTACGAGAACTTCAGGATCCCTGCCTCAGATACCGTGCCTGGTAGAAGAAAATATGTCTACAGAGATCATTAGAGAGCCGAGCCTTCAATATCCATCCACAGACAATACTGTAGGCGTTGGGTTCGCAGCGGTAGTGTCCTAGCATAATCAAGGACGGGGCAAATCTGTCCAGCTGCCACTCGGCCTTCGTTCATCTTGGATTCGGGGCTCATTCGGTATGAGTGGCAATAGTCTGACTAGCTTTGGGGGTCGGGGGCCCCCGCGCTCTGGCCGTGATATTGTTCCTACGGAGTACATGTAGAAGGGTGCGGAGAAGACTAATAAGAGCAGGCTTGCCCGACGGTGATCGATTCCCGAACCTTGGCTTCACACGCCAGTTGGGTGCCCAGTGGCGTGTTCCGTAAACCAGGGTGTTGAAGCCTTATTCAACTGCCATCCCATCTGAAAGTCCTTTTGAGTATCGCCAGAAAAAAAGAGATTGACCAACTTGAAAACCCTTGTGGATGCTTGTACACCTTCGACACCAGTTGTGATAGTCCCTGGCATTATGGGTTCCATTCAACAAGTACAGCCGGATTATGATGTCCTCATTATTGGTGCTGGATTATCGGGATGTTATGCTTCGCATCGAATGAAGCAGTTGAATCTGACGCACAGAGTCCTCGAGGCAGGCACGTCGGTCGGTGGTACTTGGTACTGGAGTCAGTCAGCCTGTCCTTCGCTGAAAGCGGCCTTACGTTGACTCCAAGCTCTTTCTCTAAATCTAGATCGCTATCCTGGCTGTCGCTTCGACTCCGAGTCCTATTCGTACGCATTCTTCTTTTCCAAAGAGATGCTAGACGAGTGGACCTGGACGGAGCATTTCGCACCACAGGCCGAAACCGAGCGCTACATCAGGTTCATGTGCGACAAGCTCGAGTTATGGGAGAACATGCAGTTCGAAACACGCGTCGAAAAAGCGCATTGGGACTCAGGGAATCTCCTCTGGAGACTCACCGACGCGTCTGGAAACGCATACACGTCCCGCTACCTCATTACCTGCATCGGCGTGTTGAGTAATCCAACCTTGCCAAATATCCCTGGCGTACAAGACTACAAGGGGACGGCGTATCACACTTCTCGATGGCCCAACGAAGAGGTCAGTTTCGAAGGCAAGAGGGTGGGCATCATCGGTAAGACCGCTAGTCATGCACCACTCGAACAAGTTCTGACTGTGTGTTCCGCGCGATTATAGGCACTGGAGCCACAGCCATACAGGCCATACCAGTGATAGCTAAAACGGCAAAGAGCTTGACAGTATTTCAAAGGACAGCAAATTGGGTAAGTAACGGAGACTTGCCTCACCCAGAGACGATTACTCGTGGGCTAACGTAAATGCAGGCGATCCCACTACTCAACAGTAAAATCGAGGAAGAAGAAATGACGTCGATTCGAAAGCGATACCCTGAAATGTTGGAGACTTTGAATCGGACCAGAGCGTGCTTTTTACACGATGCAAATTACGACTCAATATGGGATGCTACTCCCGAAGAGCGCGAAGCCTTCTGGGAGAAGTTGTATGCGACGCCAGGGTTTCCCATGTGGCTGTCCAACTACAAGGAGATCCTCGTCGACGAGAAGGCCAACGATCTTGTCACTGCTTTTGTGGCGAAAAAGATCCGGGCACGAGTTCATGACCCTTGGACAGCGGAGAAACTTGTCCCTAAGAACCACGGTATGTATATTTCCATCTGCTGAAATTGATTAATATCGAACCTGAGTTGAAAGACTGGGACTGACTCTGGCTTAGGATTTGGGACACGGAGAGTCCCGATGGAGACTAATTACTACGAAGCATATAACCAGCCCAACGTGCGCCTCGTGGATCTGACCGAGACTCCCATTGAGCGCATCACAGAAAACGGACTCAAAACCACTCAAGAGACGTTCGAATTTGACATGATCATCTATGCTACAGGCTTTAATGCCGGTGAGTGGTTGTGCAATCCAGCTTCTGACGAATCTTTGGCGTCCAGTTTAGCTGACCGGAGGCGTTTGAGTACCAGTGACTGGAGCATTTGACGCCATCGACTTTCGAGGCATTGATAACCATCGACTTTATGACGAATGGAAAGACGGCCCAAAGACATTCCTGGGCCTGACGGTCAAGAACTTCCCCAACATGTTCATGTCGATGGGGCCCCATCAAGCTTATGGAAATATCCCTCGCAGTATCGAATTTGCCGTGGGCTGGATAGCAGAATGCATAGAGTACTGTCGGGCTCACGGCATCACTCTCATCGAGGCCACTGACGAAGGAGTAAGTTTTTTGTCCTTCACGTATTGCATACCCTTTCCGCTGACAGACCGAAAAAGGTGCAAGAATGGACAGACCATGTTCATGACCTGGGCAAAGATCTCTTGAGTACCAAGGTTGACTCGTGGATGACGGGCGTCAATCGCAATGTGGCAGGCAAGGAAAAGCGAATCGTGGCCCGGTACATGGGGTCTGCGCCAGAGTTTCGGAGGAGGTGCGAAGCAGTGGCAGCTGCCGGGTACAAGGCTTTCAAGCTTGCGTAGGAGACGTCCATTCAGACGTCAATATCACGATAGACACTGGCCCTGAACTCTGCATCTGAAACATCCCCTAAATATGTCAAAAGGGGGGGGGGGGGTATGGAAGTCCCAGGAGTGGCTTATCAAACGCCAAAATGCTTCTCACATGCGAGAGACATGGCCTTCTGCATGCTTTGCAGGCTCTCTACTCTAGGAGAGAACGACTACCGTTACGGTCTTGTATTGATGAAATCTTGAGGAATTGCTTACGGTCTGAGGCATCTATCGATTCTATCAGATAATTGACGTTAACCGCCCTACTGGAGGGTTTGCCATTGACAACTTTAAATCCTGGCGGATGCGCCGAGATGCTTGACAAAGTCTACCGTGCTTTTCCAATACTCTCGCGTCTGTTCCAGGGTCGGAACCAGGTAAAAGCCGTGCGGCAATCCGGGATATACTTTCAGAGTGACAGGCACACCGGCACCCTTGAGTGCTTCTGCGTAAGCTAGGCCTTCGTCTCGGAGAGGATCGAGGCCAGCTACTTGAATCACTTTTAGGCGGGTGGTTAGATTCTGGATGATTTCTTGTCGGTTGGCAGTGCATTGACTCACGAGCGGGTGGTAGTCCAGCGTGACTCTTCGACAAGAGTGGGCTGGCATACACATCTGGGACGACCTCGGGCATGTACTGTTCCCAGAACCAGTGCATCTTGGGCGCGTCGACGACGCTGGCACTGTCGTTTTGTTCGTAGCTGCCGTACTCGTATTTGTCTCGGGGAAAAAGGTCTGGGTGGCAGGTGACGGGGATGTTCAACACCTGTCCGATGATGCCAGACTCGTTTTGATCGCGGGCCATCAGGGCGAGGACAGCTGCCTTAGACAGTCATTTCCTCAGTATCCTTCTTCACCGTTGGGTTCACGTTATCTTACGATGTTGCCTCCGGCACTTCCTCCCGCGACGATGATTGATTCTGGATCGATCCCCAAGTCAGAGGCATTGGCCTTGCACTTGTGAGTTGTCAGAGATTTAATGCACTAGTTTGGAAACCTGGGGGGGGGGGGGGGAGGGACACAAACTTGCCCATTTCAAGGCATCAAAACAGTCGTTGACCGCGTAGGGGAACTGGTACTCCGGCGCCATTCGGTAATCGACACTGACGACCACGGCCCCGCCGCCATATGCAGTAGCCAACATGCGGTTTTCGACTTCTTCGACCTGGTGGCTCCCCAGGACCCAGCCTTTGGATACAAGTCACAAGTATGAGCGAAAAGGTATATATATCATAGAGAGCAAGGGGGGGAAAGAAGGAAATATCAAAATTTACCCCCGCCATGCGCTTTCAAGACCAACACGGCCCCTGCCCTGCTCTGCATGGGCCTGTAGATCCGCAAGCCGATCTTTGCGCCGTCTCTGGTCGACATCTCTTGATCTGACACTTGGTAGTCCTTTCCCGCCACAGGGACGTCTTCTGGGAGCGCCGGAGGAGCATTTCGGTACGCAGTCTTCAAATCGTCCAGCGACAGCGACCACAGCTCGGAGAATCTCTTGTCGAGAGCGTCTTTGAGGGTTGCGAATACAGGGTCAATCTGAGATAGATGGCCGTATCTGGGTTTCGGCTGGGCAGTGGTTGTGCGATGGCGGTTGAGTTGAACCATGGTGTTTCGTTTCCAAGGGTCGACCATCCAGTGCACGAGGTACAAGGAATAGTATAGATCCAATCAGCTTTGCCGCTTTTCGAGAACCTTTCAAATAAATCAGTAACGGGGGGCGAGCCTCGCCCTTGCTCGCCCTTTGCTCGCTAAGCCGCTCGCGCAACTGGTTCATTTTTTGATCGTCTCGGTAATCGACCCCCGAAGAAAGTCACTGTGGACTCGGCTTCCAACCTTGTTATCCACCTGCTAGTACCTAGGAAGTTAGGTAACCAAGCTATCGGGTCAGGCCGTATTTTTACAATTACGAACGCGGGGAAAAGGGGTGAATGGAACGGCAAACCCCTTGGGTGCGCGGGGTAATTGTTTGCACCTAGAACAGCGCCCGATCAATCACTATTACCCTCCCAACTTGGGTGCTTGGGGGGAAGGACCAACCTCCACGATCGCCTAGGGGGCGGTACTGTGTAGTGATGTGGCAGGGGCTTTTCTTATCAACCATCCCTAGTTAATCTTTTGGTTGGGACGCCGTAGGCTATGAACCGAGGTTGAGGCTGTTCACCCCACACTTACTTGTAGTCTAGGCACCCACGCACCAGAGAGAACAGCTGGGAGTGTGGGGGAAGCACTAGGGTGTGTGGATGTCTAGGTATGGAGACGGAGTCGCAGGGAACTCGGTATAGGGTCTTCGCTAGGCACTTGCTAGCCATGTTTGCTTGACTTTGTTGTCGTCGTGATCCCTCTTCCCCCCTCTCCAGGATCTTTTTTTCCTCTCTTTCAACCGACCCAGCCCTTGCGCCACCCTTACACGGTTCCTCGCTTGGGGTTTCACCTATTTGCTCTTTTCTGGTCTCGACATAACAACGTTCTATTCATGTCGTGGCTGTAGCCATGTCTCAGACGGGATTATTTGATGCCGCGAATGGTTTCATCAGTCTCTCCGCAATCAACGTGGATTCGCCGCACTCGATGAACTTGGAGGTTTCGCCCGTCAACCAGCCGAGTCCCAAAGGCAAGAAGCGCCGCCAAAGCTCGGCCAACCTCCAGGCAGATGGGCGTGGCGGCGGAGGCACAAAGGATGTGGCTCGGTCACTGGCGTGCCTGAGCTGTCGACAGAAAAAGATCAAATGCTACCGAAAGAGTTCGACTTGCAATCAGTGCGAAAGATTGGAGATACCGTGCATCGTTCCCGATGAAGATGAGCGGCTGAGACCGTCGTCCAAGCGACGAACCCGGGAGCTGGAAAGAAGAATTGAGAGTCTGGAAAAGCAGTTGCGAGAGTCGGAGGCGAGGGCAGAACGAAACTTGTACTTGACACCTCCAAGTTCAGTCCGGTCACCCAACACCGCCGCTACGCTCCCGGCCGTGAACATCGACTCGGCGTTGAACAACGACTCGGCCCAGGCCACAAGTGTTATCGACTTCCAAAGGACACCCCATACTCTTATTGCCAGACTGTGTGCAGAAAAACCCCACTTTCGTGCCGATGAGAGTGGTCTGGCCAGGTACTACGGGCCTACATCGAGCCTACACACGAGCGAAAAGATGCCCTATAATTTCTTAAAGTGGGATGATGCTGGAAGACTCGAACTGGAGGACCAGGAAAACATCTCGCCAGTGCTTCGTGACCACCTCTTGGAGCAGTACTGGCGTTTCCAACACCAAGTTCTTCAGGTGGTCCACCGTGAAGCGTTCTTGCAGGACATGCAGGCCGGCCGCTCGCGATACTACAGCAAAGCCCTCCTCTACGCCATCCTGGTCAATGCGGCCGTTTTCTCCGAAGTCCCCGAGATTAGAGCACTGGCACTCAGTCGGGACGAGGACGCTGAAGGATCAAAACCATACTTGCTGAGAAAGGCTACCGAGTTGGCCGAACAGGAAATCGAGAACAAGGTAGGGTTGACAACCATTCAAAGTCTTCAGCTGCTCAGTGCCGTATATTCTCGGCGCGGCCAAGATACCAAGGGGTGGCTGGAATCAGGACGATCCTCTCGTCTGATCTTTGAACTCGGGCTGCACAAGGATGATGCCGAGTTCCAATCCACCAGCTCATCTCCTTTGGATCTCGAAGTCAGAAAAGTGGTCTTTTGGGGATGCTTTGCATACGACCGAGGCTGGGGTCTCTATCTTGGACGGCCCTGCGCCATCAATCTGGGCGACGTCACCATCTCGCCACTTTCCCCTCCCGTCGACAAGGCCTCTCCATCCTCGTCAGACCTCGCCGTATTGATGGCCTGGGCGACGCTGTTCACCATCGTGGGGGAGATTTCCCATGCGTTGAACCAGCAGTCATTCACCTACAGCCAGCTGAAAACTCTTCGCGAAAAATTACTTCAATGGGAATCAAGCCTCGACCCAGGTCTCAGACACAGCCCTGGCTGTCCCCCTGCGGTATACGTCCTCCAACTGCAATTTCACGGAGCAATGATCCTGTTGCACCGTTCCTCCGCGAGATTCGGTACAAACCAGGCCGAAAGTACTGCAACCTCACTAGAATCGCGAGCCATTTGTCTCGACCACGTCCTGCAGATCGGACACATTCTGGCCGACTACAGAGCATCTCACGGGTCCGCCATGACGCTGGTCGGGGTGGCCATGTACAACATCACTTCGGCAGCCGTGGTTCTCATCGCCCTCCGCACGGAGCAGTCTTCAGAAGCCACCAACGAATGCCTGTCCGCCCTGACCACGTGCATTGCAGCTCTAGAAGAAATCCAGTGTTGCCACATGAGCGCCAAGACGGTGCTCAAGCAACTGCGGTACCTGATGCGACGATGTAAACTTTTGAGCACCAAGGAAGATTCCCAAGCTCTACGAGACGCCAACGCTTCCCTCCTGCAGCGGCGACCGACGAATGATACCGTGGTGGAAAGCCCCCCCGTCGCGCTGCTCGGCCAGGTCATGCAGCAGGACTGGTCATCTTCTGACGCCACCTCGACGATGGACCCCGGGCAATTCATGCTTGCTTTGGAGGACTGTGAAGCCCTGATGACCATGGGTTCATGGAATGATTTTCAGGACCTGTTTGTATGAAAACAAAACGGAGTTTCATTTTACGTGCTAACGGGAGGTTTTCCGTGCGTGACAAGAGGGACATTGGGAAAAAAGCCCTTGTCCTGTATCCTCGGCTCTATTAGGGCTTGAAACGCCTTCGACTGCGAAATGTACGCCATAATTTTGTTGGCTTGATTACTCTTGACCACGTTGACCTGTGATTATTACTACGCAAAACTATAGTAAGATAAGGATCCACCTAAAGGTTAACATATCGGGAATCGATGACCGAAAAACCGCCCCGGATGTTGCTCAATAGAGGAAGACCATCAAGTCTAGTCGGGTCCCTCGGGGTCGGCTGACTAAACGAGGTATAACTATTGGGTATGGCGCAGTCCTGGTGCCGCCTTGGCCCTTGGCAATCGCTCTCACGTGATTACAGCAACTTACTTGGTGCTTGGATGACCCTCTTTTGCTCCCAAGCGAAGCTTGTCCGACAGATCGACTTAGTCACCTATGTTGGAGGAGGCTTCAGACCCGGCACACATGGGAGACGTTAGATGGCAGCTCCGGGGTCTGGCATCGCACTACTACACGGGGCTACTACAGGATCCAAAAGCTGGCCCGGGACAAAGATGAAATCCATCTTGCGGCGTTCGAGTGCCGGACAGGATGAATGCGACACCTCAATATGCGTGACTCGGAGAGGTGTCTGAGATATCCAGCCATTCGGCATGGACCTCACGGTTCCCATTCATGTGTCGCTATAGGAACTAGACGAATATCCGTCCAGTAATGCCAGTTTCCCGTTTACATTGACTCTACCTGAGGCCTTGAATTCCTGGGCAGAGCATTCCCCAGAGACAAGATTTTGTATACCATTCTCCCACCGAGTCAACTTCAATAGAAGATCTTGGCCGTCGCCTTCTTTCACTTGACTTTGCTTGGCCCTTGGTCTCTCTTTCGTTCCCCTCTTGCCATAGCTCAAGCTGATTGAACCAGTTGTTCTCCCATGGACGAGGTCAAGAATTCCGAAAAGCCTTATTCCATGAAGCACGATGAGGTTGGCACCATACAGTCGGTTCAGGATGTGGAACTACAGTCGTCCCACGGCGCAGACTACAGCACCTTGCATACACCAATGGTAGACGGCGACTATGCTGTGACAGCGAAGACCTGGGCCGTCGTGATAGTACGTTCTAGCATTTGGCTTCTCCAGCACACACACACACTTGCTGACCCTGCCTGTAGACTCTAGCTATCTCTTATGGGATTTCGTTCTGGCCAGTCCCATTCTTCAGTACCATTGAGATACAAATCGCCACTCAGTTTGGGGCACCCGCAAGCGGTACCTGGATCAATTCGGTTTATCCTCTTGCTGGCACTGTCTCATTCATGCTCTGTGGTGCCAATAGGTGTGTTGATAACGCGTCGCCTGTCCCCCGGTTGCGTCTCGTTTTTCCTAATCGATTATGCAGCGACTTGTTCGGCCGGCGATATTTCATCCTCGCGGGCAACGTTCTCGTCTTCATTGGGGCCATCCTGGGCGGCACCTCAAAATCCTTGGGCCAGACCATTGCTGCACACGTCTTGTTGGGATTCGGTGGATGCCAATGTCAACTGGCCGCGTTCGCGGCACCTGAACTTCTTCCCAACAAGTGGCGTCATTGGGCTGTGGTCATTGCCGATGCCATGGTCCTCTTTTCCGTCATTGTCGGGCCGCCTACGGCTCGAATCGCCATCAGACACGGTGACGCTGTAAGTAACGAGACGCCGCTCGCTCGGTCACAATAATCGTACTAACTATCTGGAAAGTGGCGTTGGGGATATTGGGGCATAGTGATTAGCATTGCTATATCCTTTATTGTCCTCGCACTCCTTTACTTTCCTCCCAAGCACCCGCGCGGCGTCGCATGGCACGTGGCTCTCAGGCAACTCGACTATGTCGGCATGTCGACATTTACCGGGGCCACGACCCTGATTCTCACGGGCATCGTCTACGTCCAGGTCCGACCTTCCAACGACCCTCTGGTTATTGGCCTTCTCGTCTCGGGGTTTGCGTCGATGTTGATGTTCGGCGCCTGGGAAACATTTGCTCCCTTGAAACAACCACTCGCCCCGACCCGCCTATTCACCCACAATAGAGGTCGCACGCTGACCGCCCCGTTCATCGTCGGCTTTGTCGTGACCATGTTCTACTACGGCACCAACATCGTGTGGCCGACCATGGTTGTGACCTATTTCACCACGCCTACCACGCCGTTTCACGTCACATTGCTAATGTCGACGGTCCAAGGGTTCGGGATTTTCACCGGTGCCATGATCCTTTCCTTTGCCGGGACTTATATTCAGCACTGGAAATGGCAGATGACGGTTCCCATCACGTTAATGACCCTCTTCGGTGGCTTGCTGGCCTACATCACTCCGGACAGGGAAGGTCTCGCTGTGGCATTTGCGTTCCTCACGGCGACCGCGTACGGCTATGCTCAATATCTCTCCATCGCCTACATCCAATTTGGTGCCGACCAAGTCGAACTCGGCATCGCTGGCGGCTTAGCCGGCGTTGCAAGACTTTCCGGTGGCGCCATTGCGGTCAGCGTGTTCCAGACGATCCTGGCCAGCGTTCAGAAGTCGCATGCTGCAGCCGATGTCCCCGCCGCCGTTGAAGCCGCTGGCGGCTCGGCCAAAGTTGCAGAGGCTGTGTTGGGTGCCCTGTCGCTCGGGTCGGAAGCTGTGGCACAAGTCCAAGGTGCCACCGCAGCCATCATCGAAGCGGCAGCTGCCGCATATCAACAAAGCTACGTCGCAGGCCTCAGGTATGTACAGCCCCCCATTCTCGTCTTCTCCCTCCCCGCCGGCGGCAAACCAAACAACAACACCATGCTGATAGTTCGTGGGGTAGGACGGTGGCCTTGGCATCAGTGGGGTTCGGTGGGATGGCTATCCTCGCCACGCTAGCCTTGGAAGATATCGGACCCAAAATGACACCCAAGATCGAGATATTCTTGGAGAATGATGTCCAAGCGGAAAAGAATGTCTATCATTGAGATAGCGATGTAGGATGATGATTGTTCTGTGGCTTCACATATGACATGATGCGCCATTCCCCCATCAGTACCTGATGCTAAGGCTGTTGGGCAAATAATGGTGGGGTGAAATCGGTGCTGGTTCGCATGTGTTCACCTAGATATCTTTGTCTCTTCTCCGGCATTCATTCACCCGCAGCACGATACCGCATAAAAGTATTCGGTCCTGATCAAGCTTCCATGGCCCCCCTCCCTCTCTTGAAAACCAGTGATGTTTTCTTTTCTTTCTTTTCTTTTTTTTTTCCCCCCATGGGCAGGAGATCTCTGTGGCTCTATATCTCGATATCTACGAGAATAGAATAGCCCAATGAGAATCTAGTCCGATGACAGAAGACAGGAGCTTGTTAGGTGACCCTGGTTCTACGGCGGAATAGCCCAGCCCGTCTAGACAGGTGGACCTCAATCTGGAAAATCTCCACGAATTGATTGATGACCTTGTTTACTTGTGATAAAGTCAGGCCACACACACACACACACATACACATTCTCTACGAGTCTGTGCCAAAAATGATCCCCAGGAAGCTTCACTAAACACAGACAAAACCCTCGCGTATGAACTCGGTAGTCGCTGAGCTCCAGGTCTTATAGTAAAACAGGAATGATTACACTGTAACTTCCTTCGGTCCAGACAAGGTATGTGAGGGATACTTTTCCTCGATCTCCTTGTTCAGGATTTCCATGTACCTCGGTATCCCTCCAAAGTAGAGGAGAGTCTTGTGGAGCTTGGATTGAATATTCGCGCCCACATACCACGACTTGACGTCCATGGCCGTTTGGGCGACCACGGTTTGCTCGAAAACGTGATTGACCTCGGAGCTCCAGTTTTCGGCCGCTTCCTTCTTGGACTCGATGCGGTCGATGTCATGACTTTTCAGGTATGATATCGTCTTCCCGATATAGTCGGCGACGATATCAATGACCATCGGTCCGTTGGCAAAGGGAGTCTGGGGTCCAAAGATCATGAATAGATTCGGAAACCCCGGAATGGTGACGCCGTATGACGTCGTCAGTTCCTTTTTGAACACGTCGCCAATCGGTTGGCCATCACTACCGTGAATGCCGATGTTTGCTATGGTGCCGGTGACGGCGTCAAACCCTTGTGGACCTGATCAGCTGGCGAAAATCCGAGACAAGAGCAAATCGTACGTACCTAGAGCGAATATGATCATGTCAAATTCGTATTCTTTGTTGCTTGCCAACTTGACCCCCTTTGGCGTGATCTCCTGAATGGGGTCGTTTTTGACGTCGACAAGCTCGACGTTGCTTCGATTAAACGTTTGGTAGTAGTTGTGTCCAGCCGGCGGCCGCTTGGAAAAGATTGGGTAGGTCGGGCACAGGAGCTCGGCCGTTTTCTTGTCGTTGACAATGGCACGGATCTTGTTGCGGACAAACTCAGAGGCCACCTCGTTGGTCTTGGGGTTGGTGAGCGTGTCTGCGAAGGTCTCGAAGAAATAATGAAACCCGCCCTTTTCCCAACCCGCGTCGAGAACGCGTTGAATGGCCTTCTCGTCCTCCAAGTCGTCGAATTTCAATTTCGAATCAATGATGTCGAAACCCATGGAATGAGTCCTTGCGCGTTCACAGATCTCCTTGTTGGTTCGGGTGATTTCGTCCATCTGGTCTTTGGTGATTGGGTAGTTACGAGCTGGAACCACGTAGTTCGGTGTCCTCTGGAACATGGTGAGGCTCTTCGCATTGTGGGCGACAATCGGTGCAACTTGGACTGCCGTGGCCCCTGCTCCAACAAGTCCTACTCTCTTCCCGGTGAAATCGACTTTCTTGTTGGGCCACAGTCCACACTGGTACCATTCACCTTGGAACGAGTCGAGACCAGGAAAAGGTGGCCGGAGTGGCGTGGCCAGGACTCCAGCAGCTGTGATCAGGAATTTGCAAGTATAAGTTTCGCCCTTGTCGGTGGTGATTCTCCAGCGGTTTTGAACCTCGTCACGGTGAGCCGACACGATACGAGTGTTCAATTGGATATCTTTCCGAAGGTCGAGATAGTCGGCAATCTTGTTCAGGTACTGCTCGACCTCTGGTTGCTGGGGGAATCGCTCTTTCCACGACCATTCCATGCCCAATTCCTCCAGAAACGTAAAGATGAAAACCCAACTTTCACTGTCGGTTCGGGCACCGGGGTATCGATTCCAATACCATGTCTAGATAGTTCAATCTCAGCCAATGCGAGGGAAAGTGACCAGGAAGAGAGACTTACACCTCCCACTCCACCCGCAGCGTCAAAAACGCGAGCAGAGACGCCACGTTTTCGCAGCTCATACAACTCGCGAAGACCTGCAAAGCCAGCGCCAACTATGATAGCCTCAAAAAATGGTTCGTGTCCGTTTTGGTGCCCATTGACTTGGCGATGCACGCCGTTAACTTGAGGTGCTTGTTCGGCCATGTTGTTTTCTAAGTTATCAGAGGCTCTAGTCGAAGTGTTTCGAGTAAGGAGAGTGGGCGCGAACATGGGACCCTTGTTTATAAGTACACTATCACTATATAGCAACCTCCAGACTTCATCATGGAGGGCGTAGGCGGGGAACCTTTGTGGAGGGGGGACACCGAGGTCAGGGGGTGGGCATACCGAGAATTGCCACCGTGGAGGGGGACAATCTAGCTATCTTCGGTCGGACCAACCTCGCCGAAACTTGTTATGGCGAAACTTTCTGGGCGATGTGGACACGGAAGATTCAACTGTAAAGGGATCGCATTGGCTGGATCAGAACTAGTCGGGGTTGAATCCGGACGCAAACACAGTCCTGGCCCATTCTCTTGTTGGAGATCGGCTTCATACAGCTGTAATTATGGGCTGAAAGCGCATACGGGGTCGACTGGTCGCGGACTGATACAAGTCATATGCGCAAGGCTGCGAGTCGTGTATGTAGATTCCCGGGCATCGATGACCGGCGCCATCAACCACGAGCGATCTACCAACCTTGACACGTATAGAACCCATACTTCGGATAACGATCCCCGAGCCTGGGAGCGGGAACTTGGGTCGTATACGGCTGTGATCACCTACGGTCATCTGACTCTCTACCAAAAAGCCAAGTGCTTGGAACGTAGAACGTGCTCGGCAGCGCGTTGCCTTTGAAGCTACCCAGCATACATAATATATGCAGAAAGGCCAACGAGCTGAAACCCCCCGGTTTTTAGTCTAATCGTCCATTTATTGATCCAGGTTCTCGTGACCTCGATCACATGTCGTGGAACCCACCAGTGCAATAATGTCTCGCTCTGCCGCCCATGATGCCCGAAACAGTGCGTTCCGGGAAGCATTCAAAACACCCTTCGAGTTCAAAGCCAGTCTACTACCTACCGGGGAATTGATCACAAAAGAGGCGCAGAAGCTCAATCTCGAGCATGAAATTCAGGACATTCCAGCCGGCAGAGGTGCGCGGATACCCTGGCTTGGACATCGTCCGGCGAAGAGGGTGCTTTTGTATTTCCATGGTGAGGAAGAGGTTTCCAAGCCCTTGGAGAGAAGAGGACAGACAACAACTTACAAAAAAATATAGGTGGAGGATTCTGCTTTCCCGCGCTCAAGGGTCATGTTCGCTTCTGGAATGAATGCCTCAAGTCTTTGAATCCGAAAAGCGACTTTGTCATTGCGGCTCTAGAATACGGTGAGGCAGGCAAATCCCGCTACTAAGCCCATGATTTGAATACTGTATGGATGGGAATTTTGACCATTTTTATCTAGGACTGACCAAGGAGGTAAGATATCCTACCCAAATCATCCAAGGGCTGGAGGCTCTACGGTTCATTCTGGGTCAAGGCTACGACACATCCAACGTACGTGTCCATATATACAAAAAAAAAAACACTCTTCTTGACCCAGACAGTTTTAACACCAAGTCTCCCTATATAGGTTGCCATTGGCGGAGATTCCGGCGGAGGAAATCTCGCCCTCGGGGTCCTATCCATCCTGTTGCACGGATTCGAAGGAGTCGAGCCGTTGAGGCTGGACGCTCCACTTGCTGGGGTCCTCCTGTTCTCGCCCATGGTCAGCTTTGACACCGACAGCGAGTCTTGGACCGCAAACAAAGACAAGGACTGCGTCGCTCCCATCAGCATGCACCTGCTCGGCCCTGCATATGTCGATCCAGAAGATGTCAACAACTACTCGGAACCTCTCCGCGCCGATGTTTCCTGGTGGAGAGGTATTCCTGCAAAGTCCATCTTGAACATATACGGAGGTGATGAATGCTTCAAGTCTCACATTGTCGAGCTGGGAGAGAAGCTCGACGAGGCAGGCAACAAAGTCGAAAATGTGGAATGTCCGGCAAGTGTGCATATAGACTGGGTTCTGGACTTGCATGCAGGGCTGGAGCCTGGAATTGCGCGCGTCCGAATACTGGATTGGCTGTCGAGAGTGTTCTGAGTCGCGCAATGTAGATGTATTCTACTGTTCGGTTATGTGCTTGTGCGCTCGATTTTCTGTGCGGATTGAGTCTTGTCCAAGGACGAAACAAAATACACCAGGCGGTCCTAGTGCTATAGCTCAGGTCTTGTTCTGTTCAACAAACTTTTACCACTTTCTCTAGTCTCCAAGCATTCTAAATGACTGACTCTGTCTGTTCTTGTCAGTGGGCCGCCTGAAGGCCACTCTCGTCATGTGGGAGAAAGACAATTTCCCCGACACTAAACGGCAACGACACTTGGTCCGAAAGTGTATATTCCCTCCATCTTCAACTCTAAGGGAATCGAATCCCGACCGTCCAATCATTTGCAAACCGATCTTTGTCGCTTTGGTACGGCGCCGTTTGGTCCGTTCATGGTTTCCTCTACACCGTAGGCTGGATCTGTGTGCGAATGAGGTTTACATTTCAAGACTCACGAAATATCCACCCACTTGTGTCGACTCCAGATGACTTTGTTATCTTTTCTTGGTCAAATTATGCAATGAACACCAGCTCCTTGTAGAGGAGAGGTTGCTCACACGCTCCGGTCAGTATCTGGGCCAGCGTTGTTCCGAACACCCCGCTTATCGACATCGCCACGTCTGTTAACCCGCATTTCTGAGGCCCTTCCCAAGAGACAACAACAGTCGCTACCACTATTTTGCTGGCTCGACAGTTTCTTCAGTTCTGGCGATCCATGTCCAAGGAACTCATACTAATCACCGGTGGCTCCGGCCACATCGGTTTCCGGACTGTCGTGATAGCTCTTGAGAGCGGGTATCGCGTCCGCCTGGCACTCCGCTCTCGGGGACGCTTCGACGCCATCCGGTCTGCCCTCGCAAGACATCATGCCCGACTCGAAGCATCGCTGGCCCCGGGCCAACTGTCCTTTGTCATTGTGCCGGACATGACGGTGCCGGGGGCATACGACGAGGCCGTGAATGGAGTTTCCAAAGTGATACACATCGCAAGCAGCATCACCACGGGTGGCAAGCTGACCGAAAAGGAATATCATGACTTCTTCATCAAACCGGCCACGAGAGGCACGATGGGCATGCTCGAGGCGGCCGCCAAAGCAGGCACTGTGAAACGTGTCGTCATCACAGCCTCGGTCGTCGCGGTCGTCCCCTTCAAAGTCTTCGCCGTCACCGGTGGCGGCGACCAAGTCTTTGACTCTGAGGGTCGTGTCTCGTTGGACAACGGACCATACGGGAGCGAACTTCAGGCCTACTGCGCATCCAAGGTTGCAACCTACAACGGCACTCTGGAGTGGCTAGGGAAGGCAAAACCGAGTTTTGACGTCGTACATCTGTGCCCGACGTACGTCATGGGACGAGACGACCTGCAGACTTCGGCTGCGGACATGATCACGGGCACGAACGCTTTACTGTTGAGTTTGGCACTGGGCAAACGGTGGGAGGGGCCGAAACCTGGGGCCACAGTGCACAACGACGACGTGGCGAAACTACACGTACAGGCTCTGAGCCCGGACATTCCGAGTGGCACGTACATGTTGAACTGGCAACAGGAAGATGGCAGCGGCACTGGAGTTGATTGGAGCTCCGTTCCTGGCCTGATCGAGAAATTGTTCCCTGAAGCGGCCAAAGCAGGCAAGATCAATCCCCAGGTGGCCATGGGATCTTCACTTCACACAAAGATATCCAGCACCAAGACCGAAAAGACATTCAATCTCAAGCTACAGGGAATTGAGGAGCAAATACGCAGCGTTGTTGGCCAATATCTTGAGCTACTGGAGAACAACGAGGGGAAATGAACGGGGTTATCAATTCCTGCCAGTCGACAGGCCGGCACGTAATAGTTCGATAGCATTATCATGACGCATCGCGTTCACAAGATCGTCTTCTCTGAATAGACCTAGAACTTGATGGGTCCCTGAAGCCAATCTGCGTAGCAGGATTCAAGAGAGGCCTTCGTGGGCCGCGCTGGTATTCGTATATAAACCATCAGACCTGGCCCGAGATCGGCCACGGACAGATGGACCAATTCGTGGCTGCTCAGAAGCTCTATATAGATATGCCGAAGCGACATTATTTGCCCTGTCGTCACCACCTACCTGCATAAGGCTTTTTGCCATTCCCTTGTAGGATTTCCTTGAAGTAGTCGACAAAAGAAACCGGCTGAAAGTCAGGGTACAGATCTCTGGCGTCCAAGTATCCGAGGTAAAGAGCATTCTTTCTCGTGTTGTCTCTGCGGAAACATTTCGAGAGATTGTACTCCTGGGTCCACAGTGCCATCTTGGCCATGATATTTGTAGGATCGGCGTCGAGATCCTGCTTGGCTTTGGCGACAATGGACTCCATCTCTGCCAAGGAGACTGGGTTCTTGTCGATTGTCTCGCCAGAGAGGTTCTCCGCCACGGCATAGATCTCGTTCTGGCTCAGTTCGTCCGACCATGTGAAGACCTTTTTGTTCAGTGTCCGCGGATCTTTGATGATGCGGGCGACAAAGCGGCCAATATCACGGAGATCGGTAAGGAGGTTCGGTGCACTGCCATCCCCGTAAAGATTATTTTCTCCCATGAAGTGAATATCGTCCAGTCTACCCGAGGGTAGTGGCGGGAACGAGATCTGGTGCCAGAACCCCGTGTCAATAATGGTGTATGGCAGATGAAGGCGGAAGATGTGGTTGTAGACTTCTTCCTTCGCGTCTCGTAGCTGCATGACCCCGCCTGGAGGACAGATGGTGATAAAGGCGCAAGGGACGAAACGTTTCACTCCGGCAGCTTTGGCCGCCGTAGCCAGATTCAACTGACTCTGCTGAGCCTCTGGGCCAATGCAGCTGATGACAGTGTTGAATGGCGTAAGAGGAGAGGGATCAAGCTTCGTGTTAAGATCGACTTCAATGACTGGGAAGCCACGAGCCACAAGAGCACGAACTGCTGGCTTGTCCGTCGACGAATGGCGAACTGCGATGCTGACATGCTACAAACCAGAATCTTTAGCTTGTATGTCCTGACCTGGCACCAGAATTGTCGGAACTTACAAAGGCGTCGTCTGCTGCCAGTCCTTCCAGAACCGAGGCACCCGTCTCGCCCGTCGCACCAAGCAAAAGTACTTTTATTTTGGACATGGTTGATAGAATCGTGAATATCAAGTACTACAGACGAGCGATTCGTATGATCTTGTAGTTCTATCCTTGTATTGAAGAAACATCTGAATGGGGAAACAGAGCCGTGTTGATTCAGGACGCGTGGTCCAAAGCTGGATGGCCCCAAGACCCTAGGCTAAGACCTGACACCCTGATCCCTTGTCTCTCTGCAGATTTTTTCCTAGTGCAGCTCTGGTTATTTTATGCGGAGTAATGTGGATTCTGGTAGTGGTTGGTGAAGCGGGCGCACGCGAATGCGGAGAAAAAGGACTACACCAAACCCTGACGCTGTGCGAGTCTTTAATTCACAGCCGTGAACTTTCGTGGCCAATCGAAGAATCCACGGAGATGGATATCCAATCAGCTCTGCGGGTTCGGCTATGCCCGAGGGCCACGACCGGTATTCGAGCACCGAGCACGAGGTATTCCGAAGACCTATAGATGTGGATATATATGTATTTAGCTAGGCTGGCCAGAGTAGGCAAGGAGTTATGACCGGTATTCGACCGCCGAGTAAGCCCTATAGATGTGGGGTAAGCACTCAGATAGGCGGTGGGTTAGATAAGGTGTAAAGAGTGAAGATCGGTGTTTGACCACCGAATAGAACTTGAATACGTATCGTATACGTATACTCGTAACTGTTTACTTTCCCCATTGTATCTACCGTGCTGATGCTAAGTGATTTGTAGTACCGAGTAACTAGGGTTTGAATTTGTGTTATGCAGTTGCGCCACCATCGACTATAGACAAGACATCATTAGCCAGGACATGCAGACTCAACAGAGAGTGAATGTTCTTAGGGTTTTGCATACTGGGATATACGGCGCCGGTGATAAAGCTTGCATCATCGCTAAGCAGGAAAGCTGCCAACGTCGCAACCTCCTCCGGTTGGCCGTTCCTCTGAAGAGGCATCGAGTTGGGTGTCATGACTTTCGTCTCTTGATCATCTTTAGGAGTGTCTCGTAGCCGCTGAAACATGGGTGTCTCGATAGGACCTCTGGTAGTAGTCAGCCAGGGAGGTGCGAGAAGGATAGCCAAAGCTTGAACTTGTTCTGTGAGAAGACGTACGGAGCAACAGCATTCACTCGAATACCATTCGCACCGTTTTCCTTTGCGGCCGTTCGCGTCAGACCTATCACAGCGTGTTTGGCCACGCAGTACGGCGCGAGACCTTCTCTACCTCGCAAGCCCCCAATACTGCTCGCGTTGACAATTGAACCTCCGTGTTTCATGACCTTTGTCTGGGAACGGATGCAGTACATAACCCCCGTCAAGTTGACAGAGAGGACCAAGTTCCATTCCTGATTGCTAAGGTCTTTGATTTGGGTGAAGGCGCCGTGTGTCCGTTCAATGGCTGCGAAATTGGCAGCACCGTCCAACTTGCCGAAATGTTCGACCGTGGCGGCGATCCAGCTATCGACCTGTGTATCAGAAGCGACGTCGACGACAGTCCCCAGGACATCTGCCCCAATAGACTTGAGATCTGCGACTGCCTTTGCTAGCATTTCTCTCTGAATGTCACAGATGGACAGCCTGGCACCATTTTTGGCGGCCACCTTTGCGAGTGCAAAGCCGATCCCAGACGCCGCCCCAGTGATGCAGATGACTTTTCCTTCAAGACGAGCCATCCTGTGTTGGACTTGAGTAGGTGCTGTTTGCGCTTCGGCGGCGGTTATTCCTTCTTTGTAGGTTCGAATACATTATGGTGAATGACGTCGTCTGCGTGCAACGATGTTCCAGTTATCACAATAACCGTTTTCGTCTTGGACATCGAACCCCGTGGAGAGAGGACAGATTGCCGCAGAGGTTTCGGGCCGGTAGGGTACTTCCTCTGACTTACTGCTCGTATTGGTTCCCTATTCCTCACCTTTACTAATGAGTCGAGCCAATCAATCCTGGCATTTCTACTTTAGGTTTGACGTAGCCATCTGACCTGCAGCTCCGAGCCCGGTGTTCTCTTCTCGGTGGAACCGGCCGTGATACACATATCGGCCTAGTCGGGAAGACATCACCGAGGAGAGCTATTCGACCGGGTCTGCCCAAGGTGCTCTAGTGGCTTTTTACTCCACCGAGTCTTGACCAACTGTATTCATGTGAATAAAAAAAAGGGGGGGAGAGAAACACGTCACTGACGGAGGAATGCAACTGGAACTCTCCAAGGTCAGGCAGCACGTCTTGCCTCTATTTCTTCTCCATTCTCAATCTGAGTGCCTATAGTCTCAATTTGACGTATCCAACAAACTTCAGTCGCACAGGGTCGAAATATGTCTGAAGCTGGGAGTTATGCCTTTGTCACTGGTTCGGGCTCAAGGTCTTTTTTCGAAACCAGAATGCTCATCAATTAACCACTCATCACAGGAGGTGCAAGCGGGATCGGTCGCGCATTAACGATTGCGCTTGTCAAAGAAGGGTAAACACCGACAGCCCCTTTATGTTCAGAACTGTCACTTGGCCAGAAGCTCACGCTTTTTTTTTCTTGGTATAGATGTCAGGTCTTTATTGTGGATCGTGATATTCACAGTGCCATCGACTTCGCGGCCGAATTGAACCAAACCGCTCAAGTAGCCTGGACGGCACAGGTGGACGTGACGAATTGGGATGAGCAGGTATCTGCCTTTGAAAAGGCCGTCGACACATTCGGCCGTATCGATTACGTGTTCCCCATCGCGGGACTTTCGGAGAGGAGAAGTTTTCCAAACAGAGGGAAGGATCTCAAGCGCTTTGAAAAGCCAGACTTGTCGGTCATCGACGTCAATTTGACAGCTGTGCTGTACACGGTCAGTCTGGCGTTGCAGCAATTTCGCCGGCAGGATGTGAACAAGTTTGGATTCAAGGGGAAAAGTAAGTCGGGTGCTTTTGTTAGTGGACAGTCAGACAGTCGAGGAGCCACTAACACTAGGGAACTTTACTCGCCATAGTTGGTTGCGTCTCGTCTATATGTGGTCTGTATGCACCTGCAACCTTGCCAATGTATACAGCTACAAAACAGTAAATCATCCTTCCCAATCTACGGCTCGATGCTCCCTTTGCTAATCAGTTTTCGGAACAGTGGCATTGTGGGCTTTGTCCGTGGGTTTGGCAAATATCTACCGAGGGAGCAAATCACCATGAATGCAGTTTGTCCCGCGGTGGTGCGCACCGCCATGACGAACGCATTCTCCGACAGGCTGGAAGGTTTGGGATTGTTGACGCCAATGTCGAGTGTAGTCGGGGCATTCCAGTCAATGTTGGGTAGCAATGATGTCAGTGGGGAGTGTTTCGAGGCTGGACCCAAGGGGTACAAGATCAAGAGTCCCTCAGACTACTCGGACGACGAGATGAGGCGGACAATGTTGATGATTTCTGAGAAAAGTGTTTCACTCCACGAGTCGGTCAAGGAGTGAAAAGCTGGTATCAAAGTCGGACTGGCAGTCCACACATCAATCTTCTCGAGTAGCAACTTCCAATTCCTCCAGTTTCTGCGCAAACAACCACTCGTACGATTATCTCATCTGTCGATTCGTAGCTAACCTTCTACCACCTAAAACCGCGTTCCATCAGCCTCTCTTCATCAAATGGCCTATAGCCAAGCATGGTTTCACCCATAATTCCATCACACAGAATCTTCCCGGATCCCCGTATTTTGTGGCTCATAAAATCTGGGGTCGCACATCGGCGAGCCGGATTGTTGGTCTCGGCACGGAATACCGAGTAATTGCTTACATTGCCCTCAAATTGCATTTGCGGCAGCATAGAATACGGGGTAGATTTGGCAGGGAGGGTAGATCTCCGGTCATCGAGCCCCGGTCGACGGTCAGTGAACCCCGGGACCCGGGGGGGGGGCCCCCCAGACAATAATGTACTAACCTAATCGGGACGACCCCCGAAAGGGTTTAAAGTACTTATCAGAAATACCACAGCATCCCATAGCCATAGGAAGAGCAGAACTTCCTCGATTCAAAGAAATTGAGGCTCTGTCCCTAATCAATCAATCAACCATGACTGTCATGGAAGGCGCCGTCGAGCATGGCCCCCTCAAGCAGAACGTCACCGAAGACGAGAAATCCGCACATATTGGGTCGACTGTTTCCCAAGAGGAGAGAGTATCGCCTGAAACGCCCTCGAAAGACGTCGTCACCCCAAAGACTTGGCTTGTGGTCGCTGTAAGTCCCTCTCTCATATCCTCTTAGATGCATTAAAGGGAAAGCAATATAGCAATATACTAACAAAAGGTCAGACCATCACCGCTTGCTATGGATTCGCATATTCTCCAATGCCGGGCCTGGCGATCACGCAGTCCCAGATCGCCCAGGAATTTGGCGTTACCGACAAGGCAACGTGGATGATCTCGGTCTACTTCATCACCGGGCTCGTGTCCTTCATGGTTTGTGGGCCCAACAGCGATTTGTTCGGGCGACGGTGGTTTCTGATCGGGGGCAACGTCTTCGTTTGCGTTGGGTATATTATCGCAGGGACCGCCAAAGGCTTTGTTCAAATCGTTGTGGGCATGGCCATCGCAGGACTCGGTGGAGCTATCTGCCAGATGGCTACATTTACAGCTCCCGAGTTGTTACCCAACAAATGGCGCCCTGCAGCAGTTACCCTCGCTGACTCCCTCGTCGTCGTCTCTACCATCGTTGTACCGGTGGCTGCCCGACACGCTCTCACGAATGGCACATGGTCCTGGCTTCTGAGGATCCCTGCCATCGGCAATGGTCTCGGAGCTATTGTACTCTACCTCTTCTACTACCCACCAGCCCACCCAAGAGGTCTCTCTTTCAAACAAGCACTCAGAGAGCTCGATTACATCGGGTCTTTGCTGTTTAGCGCTGCGGCGGTCCTCATTCTCGTCGGCGTCGTTTTCGCTTCCTACCTCGACTCAACCGATGGCAAAGTCATTGGTCCACTGGTTTCTGGATTCGCCGCCCTCGTCGCCTTTGGGTGTTGGGAGACATGGGCGCCATTGAAGCAACCACTGACACCGCCGCACCTTTTCAAGGTCAATCGGGGACAAACACTGACAGCACCTTTTATCGTCGCCTTTGTCGTGCCTGTCTACTACTTGGGTACCAATATCGTCTGGGGCCAAATTGTCGGCGCCATTTTCTCCCCGAACGACCCCAGTTCTGGTCTCGCCATGGCACTGTCCGTCATACAAGGGCTGGGACTTGCAACGGGCGGAGTCCTCCTCAGCGTGGCTGGACCCTATATCAAACACTGGAAATGGCAACAGTTTGCTGTTGTGTTTACCATGACTCTATTCGGAGGGCTCTTGGCTTTGGTGTCCCCTCACCGCCGCTCTGCATTGATCGCTTTCAACTTTCTCGGTTCTGTCGCTTTTGCATGGGCCCAGTTTCTGTCAATCACATATTGTCAGTTTGGAGCCCCACAGACCGAGCTCGGCATTGCCGGTTCACTTGCGTATGTGTTTTCTTTCGATACTCTCCTCCCAATCCCAATAGGTGCGCAGTGGGCTGACCAAAAAAAAATACATAGGGGTGTGGGAAGATTTGGTGGGAATTGCATTGCCACCACCGTCTACGTGACCGTCATCAACAGGACTCTGGCGAGAGAATCCCTCAAGAAGGTGGTCGCGGCCGTCGTGGCCGCCGGAGGTTCTCGCGACCTTGGTTTGGCTGTTCTTTCAGCCCTGCCAGCCGGATCTCAAGCCGTCATGTCCGTCCCAGGCATCACAGCCGCAATCGCCACTGCTGCCGGAGCGGCCTTCACGAGCAGCTTGCTTATCGCCATCAGGACCGTCGCTCTCGTCTCCATCGCCTTTGGTGGAGCGGGAGTAGTGGCGTCTCTGTGGTGTGAAGACATCAGCTCCAAGATGGACGACCGCATCGAGGTTTTCCTCGAGAATGACGTGCAAGCGGTGAAGAATCACTATCATTGAAGCAGTCAATGTCAAGATGGCCTTGTCTTCAAAACAACTTACTGGACATTCGGATGCTGTTGATCATCTCAGTGGACGGATCATTTAGAAAGATAGCATGGGACGCAGTCAAATAGCTAGGGAACAGTCAAGGAAGGGAGACGGACGAGATGCAGGTCGTTGTTTTTGAAGAATTTTCGCTGTGGGACTGAAAACCGTTCTCCTCCTCGATTGTTTGGACCTGTATCAATTATTACATAGCAGAGAGCAGTTGGATGACGCAGAGATCGAATGCAGAGTTACAACAAAGGCCCACGCATACCAGTCACTACTTGAGTGTTGTTGTTGAGTGATTAGCCAAACCGTTTTTCGCCGTTGTTCTGACACTCGGCACACTTGCTGTCTTTGCTCAGCACAGATTGACATGCAGGTCCAGCTCTGTGTTTGGACCTCAACGCCACACCATTTCCCTCAACAAATGTTACACTCTCTTCATGAATCCCCTTTGCTGTGGCTTTGCATTCCCCGTATGGCAACTTCGTTCTTGTCCTCTCCCACCGAAGACCCATGTTCTCCGTTACTGGGTTTCTCCACCACAGTCCAAGGACGCTCAAATCCGTCAAATTCCTCGCTGATCAGCATGCGAGTGTCCTCCCAATCCACACCAAACGCGCCGCTGTTGAACTTGGGACTCCAGATCTCACCTGGCTTGTCACCGTCGGTCTTCCAGGCGGTCTTAGGGTTGAAATTGGAAGGACCAAACGCTTCCAACTGGACTCGGAGGTCTTCGAGTGCCATTCTGGTGTTGTTGATGATATTGATCTCAGAGTCTTTTCCTGGGTTGTTGGTTTTCATATTTCGTTTCCCGTAGCCAATACTTGTGAAGAGGCAAGCGATCCAACGCCTCGGTCTGAATATTGACTCTCCCGTTGGAATGGTCTTGTCGGTGCCCTTGAGTCTTATCATGATCTCCTGTTCGTAGTCCAAAGGTTGCGGAGGAATAAGTAAGCAGGTCCCAATGAGATCGTACGGTCGACTAGCAACCTCACAGTGCGCCTCATATATCCTGAATGCCTCTGGATACTTGCTTGTGTCAGCGACAAGCCAGTCAAGGTAAGCTGGGTATACATACCAATCCTTTGAGATACAACGCAACCCCATATCCCCAAACTCCCTGGCAATTGACAGCATCTGCAAAGGATATTGTTAGTGCAGATCACAAAGCTTCTCTAGCCGTGTTGTACGCACGGACGATGACGGCTCTGTCCGGTGCATGATGGAGCTCGCCTGCTAGATCACTGATTGAAAACCCAGGTTCAATTCCCAAGTCGTTCTCCAGCACTTGCTCAGAAAGTTCGCGCCTGAGCCGGTCGGAAATATCCTCCAACTCAAGCGAGGGAGATCTCTCTTCAGGTGGAGGGCTCCACATGTCACCGTCATCGAGGCAAGATTTTACAATCCGGTCCTGGCCTTGTAAAACATCCTTCATAGTGTACGTCCGTGTTGCCCGCTGTCTGAGTTCTTCTCCGTCCCCCAGGAACTTTGACAGAAGAGCCATGTAGGCTTGGTCGATGAAATTCAGTTCAAGCTCTGATTCGACGTTGTGTTTTTTCCCGTCTTTTGTGGTCCAGTATTCTATGAGCTCAAAGTATCGTGCGTCGAGCTGTTCTAGTGATGCATCTTTTGGTAGGCCGAGGATTCTGTAGTATTCGATGGGGTCGTTAAGGTCCATGTTTGTTATTGATTATGGTAAGCGAGGATATGGGAAGATATGAGAGTACAATTCCTGACATACCCTGGCGTTGGCGGCCAGCCACTGATAAGTATCTGTGCGCAATTTGGACGGTGTCAAAGGAGATTCCACAAGTTCCTCCTTCTAGGCAGGCGATGTATGTTTGAGGGAAGTGACAGTCACGATATCGATAGCGCAGTTGCAGTGAGGTGAGGCAGAGGTGAGAAACTACTGCCACAAAACAACAATAAACGCCGCAAAGAAAACAAACCGAACACCGAGAACTTGATGTATTCTATGTACTATGGTATGCACCGTAGCCAACACTTCTTCATTGTTTATATCAGGCGCGTTACTGCGTTACTCGTGAAGTCTCCAGAGTTAATGGCTCCAAAGTCGAATAAGATGTAATCCAACCGAGTACTGGTCATTTCCTGAAGAAACCTAAGATACTTTGCCTCTTCTTGACACGTTTCAAGCCACCGCCGCTGGTTAAAGTCGTTTTCAGCTCTGTTGTTTCCACCGTATTGAAGAACTGAGTCGAAGGGGTGGTCGACCTGATAGAGGGTAGACCAACACGAAACCTCTCTGCAAAAGTTGGCGCAGCTGATTTCTTGCTTCGTCGACTTCTTTGTCGACTTAGTGCCCTCATCATACCGTCTTCGTCAGTGGACTGTCTTTCCAGGTGCTCAATCTCTTGAAGCGCAGTCAACCCGTTTGTTGCCAGATTCTCTTCCGCAACGGCATCAAACCGCACAACGCCCCGTTTTGGCGGAATGTGAAGTGTGTCATGAAGAAAATCCTGAATCAAATGTGTACTTCTCTTGTTCTTTGTGGCTGCTATTTCTGACGGTAAAGCTGTGATAGTGAGGTGATATGCTGGTTCAGAATTTCCGCTGAGCAGGATTGGGATGTCAGTGGATACCATGACCATAATGCACGAGGCAGGACGTTGATAAATTTCAGACAAGCGAAAAGACAGGTCGATGAGGAATTCTTTTTCGGATTCGAGCTGGAACCAGTCAGTCACGGCTCAGAAATTGGGTTTCCATTCCTACGCAGCAATTCAACTTGATCTCGGCCAGGATCACCCAGTCTTTCGCAACGCGCTCCTTTGCCGTGTTGCTTGACTCACGGTAGGCAAAGGCATCATCGTAGTATTGACTCCTCTTCTTGGACAAATGCAGTCGGCTCCATGATTGCTCCAAGCTGGCGACATCTGACTGTTGCCCTTGTGAGCTCTTTGAAACTATCGCGAATTTCGTTGGGCGCGTCAGGTCAGGAGGAGTCGATTGAGCGCGTTGTAAGAGCGGAAATTTGTGGGGGACTGGCGATATGAGGCCTTTGGGATGGAATGCACCATCTGACGCCATTTCGCGCGTCGGTGGGGTAGGAAATGCATTCTCGATGGCCGTCGCATTGATGCGGCTGGTAGAGGACGGTGTAGATGGCATTGAATCTTGGCGGTGACTGGATAACAACGAACCGAGCACTGTCCTTGTCTCAAAAGGAGGATACTATGATTGGGCAATCATTTGCAGATAGAGACGGAAATGCTGAAGTCACGGTCTCCATGTAAGAGACAACGAGGTCCAAATCACTCCAGGGGCTGAACAAGGGCATTAACAATGGGGCATTCCAATCGAGATCCAAAAAAACCCCAACGAAAGGCAGACCCTCGATCTCTTGTGAAACCAAACCTTCGTAAGCGAGGCGCAATTGAGCAGAAAGGACGTAGCAAAGGAGCGGAGAAGAGGGAGACAGAGATAGAGACGGGATGCAGGCCGCCATGCAGCTTCCTGCATTGTCGAAAGGACCGCCGACTTGTGAGACGGCAGCCGCCATGCACATCAGGGGAAATGACCATCATCACATGTGGGAAGGATACAAAGCGTGGTCCACGGACCTTTCTTGGGCTGAATGTCCCATTAGAGATTCTGTTAAGGTCATATTAGTGTCTATGAGATGTCGTTATTGAGAATGTAGACAAGTTCTCTGCTACCAATCACTTAGCCTTGTGACATGGTCACACTTTGTCAACCACTGAAGATGGCAGTGTTTGTTGACTTTGTCAGTCTTAAAATGTTTGTCAGTTTTTATGCATTTGTTAGATTTGGTCAATTCCGCGGATGCACTCGTCGAAATACTTGTGCATCCAACGACATCCCTCTCGCGAGCAGCTCCTCCTCGTATTTCTCACTTGGCAGTCGTCGTCATTGATCGCTTTCCTCTTCTGATATGGTGGAGCCGACTGTGCTCATTCAGCTACCAATATCCTCCACCGATTGGATGGAAATCTCCTTGGTGCCAATAAGCGTGAACCTTGAGAGGGGAAGAGTTCTAGATCGAATCATCACCCTCACTCGTCAAGACTCATGGGTCATGACGTCGATGTCGATGGTGAGGGTACTGGAGGGGTGTTTGTGCAGATCGGACTCACACGACAATGGTACAAAATACTTACAGACACCCTCCTTCAGTCTGTGGTCTGAATCAACCCTATCGTTGCCTATCGACGGAAGCTAAGCCTGCCATACAATCAATCTGCGTTCTCACCATATTGTATAAAAAGGTAATGTGCCATGAGGCTCTTTGTTGACGTCAACGTGATGCTAAAAGGGACTCAATCCATGATGTTATGACCTGCCAACTGATATTTTTACAGGTACGTCAAATAAGATTGCCCTGCTCGACTTTGGATTTACTGTCCACAAGTCCAATTCAACCCTTTACTTCCAACTATGATTCGCATTGTTGGTCAGACCAAGCGGGCTCAGCTACTAATCTTCTCACAACAAATCAGACCGTTTTCGATATTTCTAGCAAGTCAGTCCGTGTACAGGTTTGGACGGAGGCATTCGCTCATCATTGCGCAGGAATGTCTGATCAAGACAAATCGGCACTTGACGCCAACAAGGGCTCTATCGGGTCTCAATTCAAACCCGAGGGATGTATGATTGACCTCTTCCTGGACTGTCTCCTTGATGAGACGTGGTCATTTTCGGTGTAGGCTAACCAAGAGTGGCAGCAATCGGACAAATGGGAGAAAAGGCTGGTGGTCCTCTAAGTAGCGAAGGTGCTGTGGGAAAGCAATTTACGCTACAGGGCTCAGTTGGTGGGTGACAAAGAAGAGCCTTTGCTTGTGGAGACTTGTCGCTGATAAGAATTGACCTGTAGGTGGTGCTGCGCAATCAGGTATGTCGAATCCTGTGCAAGGTTGAGCACCATGTTAACAATCGTCAGCCGCCGAGCAAATGCAGGGAGACAAGAAGCCTGTTTTTGACAAGGATGGTGCAATTGGAAAACAATTCAGACGTGAGTTTGAGGACCTAACATCATGGAGAACAATGCTCACACCAAGCAGCTGAGGGAGCCATTGGCAGTGTCGGTGAGGTGAGTTGAATTGAGCCAGTTGCAAGAATCGGAAACTTCGAGCTGTTATCCAAACAAGATGAGCTTCTACCTTTTGGGGACTTGTTAACGCTCCCTCTCCGACAATAGGCAGTTGGAGGTCCCTTCTCGGCGCAGGGTGCAATTGGAAAACAGTTCACCGAGCAAGGAGTGGTGGGAGGTAGGTTGTCCTTCCTTGCGAATGCCTGGTTTGCACTTTAGAGATCTTCTACAGGACAACCTCAGTGTTTCTATGCTGACAAGCTTGCACAGGGTCTATCCAGGAGAATTTGGGCAGTGGGAAGAAGTAATGCCGGATAGGTATTGAACTTACAAGATCTTATTGAGGATGGCGAGCAACCGTTGGAGCAACAGCCATCATCTGACTCCAAGGTCATTATGTCTTAGGAAGAATTATCTAGTTTTTCTGGGCAGTGCATTAGTTTGATTGCCTCTTCGCAATGAACCCAAATGTCCAAATTCCAAATCCAATCCCATTGACTGTCCAAAATACGTCGGATTCGCTCCAGATCATCTTCAACTCCAGGCGTTTCAAATTCGTAAAGCATGCCGGCATTCCTGCTCGCGACGACAAGTCGTTGGTCTCGCTCTCTCCGCATCGAATCGTACGCTGCAAAAGCTCTCGCAAGGTGAACTGTTTCAGGCGTATGCATTTCTCCGAGAAGTCGGCTGAGGACAGCAGCATCCTCTATGGCCATACCCGCCCCTGCACCGAGGTGTGGAGTGGAAGCGTGAGCGCAGTCACCCAGAAGACAGATTTTGCCTCCTCTGACAAAGGACGCTGCAGGAGGCAGGTCGAAGAGACCCCATTTATCAGGCTTTTTCAACAAGGATAGCAGCTTGATCACGGGCTTACTCCAGCCCTTGAAATCTTCGAGGACGTCTTCAACGGTGACGGGAACGACCCAGTTGTTGCCATGATTCCATTTCGGCGCATCTCGAAAGGCGACAACGTTGAGCGTCTTGCCCTGGTCAATAGGGAATGTGACCAGATGGCCGCCGTAGCCAAAAATCAAAGCCTGGGTCATTGCCACCTCTTTCCCCAGGACACTGATGGCATCATCGATGGGTATGAGTCCTCGATAGGCATATTTGCCTGTAAATTGTGGTTCGTATTTTTCCTGTTCGCCGTGAAGGATATTCCGCACCTGTGATTTGACGCCGTCGCAACCAACGACGGCATCGAACATTTCCGAGGTACCATCCGCGAAAAGAACCTTGACACGTTTCCCATCGTCCTGTACATCCACACATCTTTTGTTGAAATTGACCAGGCCACCTCGGAACCCACCAGGCAGGAGGTTCACCATGGCGTCCAAGAATACTGCCCGATGGACATTGCGGAATTTGTTCTCATTGTGGATGGTACATATTCCTTCAAAGGCCTTGTCCGTGTTGGCTCCTCCTCTTCCGTCCATGCCCATATAAACATTGGCAAATACCGACATCTCTCGACCGTTGACAGTAACTGAGGGTGCTTTATCCGCGATTCGGCTGTAGGAGTCGTAGATTCTGGGATCGATCGCGTGCATGGCTCGCACCGCGTTGGGGAGAAAGCCAACACCGGCGCCAATCTCGGAGAAGGCATGGGCGGCTTCGAATAGATGTGGTTCGAGAACGCGTCGATCACAATGTCTCAAGATCCCTAATAGAAGACTTAGTCCGCCGATACCTCCACCAATGATTGCCATCCGCAGAGGGCTTTTGCCGTCTTCAGCGTCTCCCATGACGAGCTAGGTATAGATTTCAATTGAGGAGCCGAAAGATAACTGTATCAAGAAGTGTCCTGCATTCCAACGCATTGGCAACTGGCGATTACGGCCTTTTGTACCCATGCTGTCCAGAGCACTTGCAAATGTCACTCTTGCAAGTCTTCTGCTTGGATGAGGCATAAAGTTGTCGCATCTCGGTCAGAGCGCACTAAAAGTGTCAAGAAAATCTATCGCACCGGTAAGCTCGTATTGAAGTAAAAGCTGACACGAACGGGATCCAGAGTTTCAGTCGGGGATCTTCATATGGGCAGACTGCAAACGCCCTCGACACCTGGCTCGCTGGGTAGTCCAAGCCTTCGTCGAGACCACATCATTGTGAGTGTGGCAACCCATCTCCAAGCTTCGCGATATGCGTTATCTAAAATATCACACGTAGACTCAGGAGTCAGCATGAAGAATTATTATGGTGGAGATGGAGTGAGCAGTGAAGACTTGCGCGCGGCCGCGTCGATGTGTTACCGCATCGGGTTTAACGCATTTATCTCGGCAAAGATGCCAGATGCGTTAGTGAGGCTCTAATCGGGACTCCTCGTTTGTGCGAATCTCACCCCTCTTGTCATCAACACCAGAGATGAGGTGACACTCTTGTCACTTTCTAGATCGGCTAGTCATCGCTTGGAAATACTCATGTCTCTTACAGTGACAGAAGGGTTTCTTCGCGACTCTCGCCTCAAACATTTCCTGGCCCCCAAAAATGGTGAGGCGTCGAAGAGCTGCGTAGCCGCTCACGCTTTTCTAGCCGCCCACCAAGATATACACCATTCGACTCAGCAAATGAGGCTCCAGCGTCAGGCGACCTTCTCCCGTCCCTGTTTATCTCATTGCCCCTGGCTATAAGCTGCTTAGAAAGCCATCTATACAATGAGAGGCTGCCTACGCGCCCTGTGACCTTCAAGACCATGGCCACGTCTTCACGCCCCTGTGGAATGCTCTAGTATCCCGCGTCTCCATGGACATTGGCGAGACGGGAATGGTGTGGTATCCTTCCAGATATATTGTTCAAACAAGCGGCGAGGTGTCAGTGGCACTGACTAACTGTTAGCACTGTTTGAGAACGATACCTGCCCTTCCAATTTTGCTCCTGCATAGGCGCCTACATGTTGTCACAGACGGAAGCGCCCTCCACGTGGTACTGACATATTACCTTGCAGGATTCCCCAGAAATGTTCTCATCATCCTTCAGGTCGACCGTGCACCGCATCCCCAGAATAGGCCTGCCAGTCAAGGACAGACTTGTTGACCTTTCACCTGGGCCTGTCACTAAGACTGTCGTTGTCAATCTTTCTCCTCAGTCATGGAGACCTCAAGCCCATTGCCAGACACGCCAGTGTCCCTGCTGAGAGCTATTGACGGTAGTCACCTTAGATGGTCCGACTTTCGAACGATTGTCCTCAGTGCATTTCGGATCATCTTCACCGACAATCTCCAGTTGTCCGAGTTGTCACGGCCCTTCTCTGACAGATTGAGGCCTTGCCTGCAGAAGCTTGACCGGTTCGACAATCAAGAGATAGAATGGCGGGAACAGGTCACAAGTAACAAGGGATTTGGATCGTCAATGGTGTTCCCTCCCAACATCCTCCCCACGACGGGTGTCAACCTCAACCTCCATCGATCTCTGGCCCCAAAGCTCAATCGAGAGGCACTTCCACCGCGAGCCGTCAAGGCCCAAGAGAGTCTTTTCGAGCTGCCTGTCCCTCGACCTGGCCTCCTTACTGGGTTCACGACACAGGCATTCAATGAGAGAGAATTGTCGGTTCTGCCTCATTGCACATCAGCAACGGGGACGATTGTCGATTTTGACTCGGGCACCGTGTCTCCAGGAACAAACACCTACTGCCCTTTCCTTGTCTTTGAGCGACTGAACACCAGGTCGGAGGATGCTGTCCAGTCTGCCAAAAACCAATGTGCAATCGCCGGAGCCCACTGTGTCAGGGCCTTGCAGCTTTTGTTCAGAAAATGCACTAAGCCCCGTCCGGTCTTTGAAAAACCAATATCATTCTCATGTGCCCTCGACAATTCCATCGCTCTTGTCTACTACCACTACGTTGATGCTGACGGACGCTACTGTATGTCGGAACTCTCAAGGTTCAATCTTGACGACACGAGTGCTTTCAAGGAATTCCAGGCATGGATCGAAGCGATTGAGGATTGGGGATCGACATACCTTCTACCCGTCATTAAAATTGCACTGAGACAACTCCTCAAGAGCCATGGGACCCCGCCAATATCACCTATGCCATCACTCACGCTGTCAATTGACACGGCCGCGGGAAGTGATGAGGTCTTGATGAAGGTCCTCCGCTCCACATTTGGCACCATCAAATGGAAATGTGAAGGGGAGTGCGAGACCCCGCTGAACAGTAGTATCGCTCACTGTGGCACGCCACTCGGCGCCCGCAAAATAAGGACCCTGGCTCTGTCGCCCACCTCACCGGTTGATATAATGAGCGTGGTGTCGGGGCCCACCACGCCACTTTCCGTGTGGCGTATGAGGCCAGACTGGTCCACCAGATCCCCTACTGCCCGAAGGCATCCTTTGTCGCCCTTGAGACTGCGATCTGATATCCCCGACTCTCCATGTCGACGCGCCAGTCTCTCTCCATGCACCCCTCCGCCAGAAGCCCCCAATTCGGCGAAATCCCCTATGCTGGTACTGCAGAAGAGGGTAGATCTGGCCATGGATGAAATCCAAGAACTGAGGGCTCTAGTGCAGATACTACAGGGGGAACTCGAGTCGACGAACAATCAGCTCGAGTTGGGCAGGAAGACGGCCGACATCACGACACCCGAAGCATGTGAAGACGTTCCAGGCCGTCCGACAACTGGGCATTCAACCAATTTGAGAGATTACCTTGTCCAGAGCTTTTCTCCGCTCTCCCACCTACCGTTGACCCATGTTACTCAGAACCTCCTGTCCTCTGACCTGTTATTGCCTTGGGCCCTGTGCTTGTTCTTACTTGTCTCGGTTCTTTTATCCGATGACCTGATGGTGGCTGCGTTTTATCTAGCGCAGTTACCAGGAAGCGTGTTTGTCTGACATGGTGTGGACGGGCTGGAGGGAGCATGCAGATTAGATTGAGCGATCTACAAATCTATCGATTCGTCAAGGCGGATCGTGTACTTGTACTCTGATGTGTTGTATCTGGTGTGGGTATACGGTTGGGGGGTTTAAGGGGCCATTGGAAAGGAAGTCGGCCCTGGAGCATGTGGCTTCACCAGTGGAAGTGGTTCGTCCTCATAACCACGCGTTTCGCGTTCCAGTAGATACGAGTATCGATGGCCCCTTTGAATATGACGATCCTCCCCAGCTTCTGTTCGATCTATCCCCATAGGGTTCGTCGCAAATCTATGAGGATGATCGCCTCGGGCGTGTGGTTCCCGAGGGCTTGTGGCGCCGTCCCCAGAGTTGAATCTGCCATCGTGCTCTGTGTGGATACGCTGATTGGCGTGCTCGACGAGGCGCCACTATGTTAGATAACCGTGTCGTGATTGCATGATTGGCGCGCATGGGATGGAGGCACAAAACTTCTAGGTAAACAAACCTTACAAACACGAGCGCGAGTGGCTTGGCTCCCTCTGATCTCGGCAAAAGATTTGAAGAGCATTCAAGATCTAAGCAGAAGGCTGAGTTAGTTGGAGGGTAGTCAACTTTGTTTACGAAAGGATCTGTGGGTAGTGTCCTCCAGATCGTCGGGATCTACCGGATAAGATGAAGCGCTAAAGGCGTGAGGCAGAGAGCACCACGCCACCCAGCGCCACAATTATGCTGAATCGGACAGGCCTAGCCGGCGCCTTACCGTCTTTGTGCAACCAGACTAACTATTTATGGTATAAGCCTCGCTGTACCGTCCCCGCGTCCCCTGAATAAGGCTTGGCTTGGCTCTTCGCCAAATTTCCCTTTTCAGAACCTGTTCGCGTCTCCCCAACCTTGAAAATGGCCGGGACCGTTCGAGAAGCATAAACACACCTATCACCACAGGCTGTAAAGGCAGTTTAACGTTAGCCACTAACCTCCAGTTCATCTTTACGATGTTGATATCGGGATCGAAAATTGCATGCAAGGTGATTGAGGCTTTGTGCCGAAATTCCATCAACTGAGACTTTGGAGACAGGAATCTCCTGGCCCGCGATGGTAGGTATACCTCCCAACTGGGTGAGTCTGACCTTTCTATATATCTTGATGCCAATGTCGCTCCTCAGTTCTCTTTATTCATCATCTTCCACACACACACTCTCTCTCTCCCCTTCCGTGTGATATCTCTTTGGCACCAAGTGCCGTCCATTCCTTTTTTCGTGATTTCTAGTCACTCCTTTACCGCAAACATGTTGACTTCAACTCTTCTTCTCGCCTCTCTTGGCGTCGCCGCTGCGTTCAAGAACACTCCCGATGTGACGGTCAGGGTGACATCTACTCGGACCATCGCCTTCTGCGCGTACCCTACCGGCTTCGGTCCCTGTGATGGGGCCAGTCAAGCCTGGGAGGCTGTGAGCGAACCTACCAAACCGGCTGCCAAAGGTTGGTTCGGCGGGTTTGGAGGCCGTCACGGGTCACATGGGCCAGGACGACTGGGCGGCTGGCGCGGTCCCCCGCAATTCGGGCCTCACGGTGGTTCTCAAGGCGGCTCTGAGCAAGGCGGTTCTCAACACGGTGGCTCTCAAGGCGGCTCTGAGCAAGGCGGATCTCAACACGGTGGCTCTCAAGGCGGATCTCAGGGCGGTAGCTATCAGGTCGGGCCTCAAGGTGGCTCTCAACACGGTGGCTCTGAGCAAGGTGGCTCTCAGGGCGGTAGCTACTATCAAGTTGGGCCTCAGGGTGGATCTCAAGGCGGTTCTCAGCAAGGCGGCTCCCAACATGGTGGCTCCCAAGGTGGTTCGCAGCAAGGCGGCTCTCAGCAAGGCGGCTC